TGTCACGGTCTCGTCCGCTTGTAGGGGTTTTGGGCTGTCACGGTCTCGTCCGCTTCTCGGGGTTTTGGGCTGTCACGGTCTCGTCCGCTTCTAGGGGTGTTGGGCTGTCACGGTCTCGTCGTGTTGGGCTGTCACGGTCTCGTCCGCTTCTAGGGGTTTTGGGCTGTCACGGCCTCGTCCGCTTCTAGGGGTGTTGGGCTGTCACGGTCTCGTCCGCTTCTAGGGGTGTTGGGCTGTCACGGTCTCGTACGCTTCTAGGGGTGTTAGGCTGTCACGGTCTCGTCCGCTTCTAAGGGTGTTGGGCTTCAGGGGTGTTGGGCTGTCACGGTCTCGTCCGCTTCTAGGGGTGTTGGCTGTCACGGTCTCGGTAAGCTTCTAGGGGTGTTGGGCTGTCACACTAGGGGGTTGGGCTCACGTCTCGCTTCTAGGGGTGTTGGGCTGTCACGGTCTCGTCCGCTTCTTGGGGGTTTTGGGCTGTCACGGTCTCGAGTCTCGTCCGCTTTGGGCGCGGTCTCGTCCGCTTCTAGGGGTGTTGGGCTGTCACGGTCTCTTCCGCTTCTAGGGGTTTTGGGCTGTCAGGGTCTCGTCCGCTTCTAGGGGTTTTGGGCTGTCACGGTCTCGTCCGCTTCTAGGAGTGTTGGGCTGTCACGGTCTCGTCCGCTTCTAGGGGTGTTGGGCTGTCACGGTCTCGTCCGCTTCTAGGGGTTTTGGGCTGTCACGGTCTCGTCCGCTTCTAGGGGTGTTGGGCTGTCACGGTCTCTTCCGCTTCTATCTGAAGATCCCAAATGCCTCCCGTTCCAAAGTGTCGGGTAGTGCAACCTCGTGATCCCAGCGCAGATCAACCAAAATTCCTCGTTCTAAATGATCTGTTTTCACCTACTTGTGCTTCTGCGCGCCGCGCGTAAGCTCAAGTCCACCAAGATTCCTCGTTCTAAATGGTCCGTTTTCACCTACTTGTGCTTCCGCGCGCCGCACGTAAGCGCAAGTCCACCAAGATTCCTCGTTCTAAATGGTCCGTTTTCACCTACTTGTGCTTCCGCGCGCCGCGCGTCAGCGCAAGTCCACCAAGATTCCTCGTTCTAAATGGTCCGTTTTCACCTACTTGTGCTTCCGCGCGCCGCACGTAAGCGCAAGTCCACCAAGATTCCTCGTTCTAAATGGTCCGTTTTCACCTACTTGTGCTTCCGCGCGCCGCGCGTAAGCGCAAGTCCACCAAGATTCCTCGTTCTAAATGGTCCGTTTTCACCTACTTGTGCTTCCGCGCTCTGCGCGTAAGCGCAAGTCAACCAAAATTCCTCACTGTAAAGAGTCTGTTTTCAGCCACGTGCCAAATCCTGAATCTGTACTCCAAAGCTCACTTGTGCTACCGCGCGCGGCGCGGAAGCGCAAGTGACCACATCCATGGCGCAAGTACAGGTTGCCAAAGCGCGCACTTGTGCTATGGATGGGGTCGCTTGTGCTACCGAGCGCGGCGCGGAAGCGCAAGTGGGATTTGGAGTGCGGGTTCCCAGTCGATGGAAATCCCATGCACTGTTGCACTGCTTTTAATAAGCCACCCCCCACCCCCCTCCCCCCCCGACCCTACTTAAAGAAATTAGAAGCACCCCAATCTAGGGGGGCCATCCTCAAGCCTCAGACCCTTGAGGCCCACAGCGGCCATTCTGCTGTTGCCACAAGCTATTTCCACTTTTCGGTCCAGGAAAAGTTGATTTGGCTTGTCGTTTTGATATAGTTCTAGTTCTGGAGTGTTGTTCTTGAGTGTTCAGAGCTCAGCAGCATGATCAGTACTTCTGTGTTGACTCTGCTGTATTGCTGAGAGACCATGCTTTCATCCCTGGAAAACCACAGTGACCCTTCTGCTGTTGCCACAAGCTATTTCTACTTTTCGGTCCAGAAAAGGTTGATTTGGCTTGTCGTTTTGATGTAGTTCTACTTCTGGAGTGTTGTTCTTGAGTGTTCAGAGCTCAGCAACTCTTGCTGTGTTGCTTACTGAGTAACTGTCAAGGCTATGTGTTTTTCGAAAGGCCGTATGGTACCCCAGACGGTAGTTCAACTTTGGACTGACAGAGAGTGGAATAACCTTATCAAAACCACTAAGACAACGTCCAACGCCACCAAAATATTGTTGTTTTCCATGTGCCACCATCTCGTGAACCCCCCCCCCCCCTTGCCTGCGCCACATGTGGTTTAAACTGTGATTTGCACAACTACCTTATGTGTGGTTTTCCATGGTTTCCCAATTTGGAACGGGAGGCTTCCCCACGGGAGGCATTTGGGATCTCTATATTCTAGGGGTTTTGGGCTGTCACGGTCTCGTCCGCTTCTAGGGGTTTTGGGCTGTCACGGTCTCGTTGTTGGGCTGTCGCGGTCTCGTCCGCTTCTAGGGGTGTTGGGCTGTCACGGTCTCCTCCGCTTCTAGGGGTTTTGGGCTGTCACGGTCTCGAGTCTCGTCCGCTTTGGGCGCGGTCTCGTCCGCTTCTAGGGGTGTTGTTGGGCTGTCATGGCCGCTTCTAGGGGTTTGGGCTGTCACGGTCTCGTCCGCTTCTAGGGGTTTTGGGCTGTCACGGTCTCGAGTCTCGTCCGCTTTGGGGGTTTTGGGCTGTCGCGGTCTCGTCCGCTTCTAGGGGTGTTCCAGGGGTGTTGGGCTGTCACGGTCTCGAGTCTTGTCCGCTTTGGGGGTTCTGGGGCTGTCGCGGTCTCGTCCGCTTCTAGGCTGTCACGGTCTCGTCCGCTTCTAGGGGTTTTTGGCTGTCACGGTCTCGTCCGCTTCTAAGGGTGTTGGGCTGTCACGGTCTCGAGTCTCGTCCGCTTTGGGGGTTTTGGGCTGTCGCGGTCTCGTCCGCTTCTAGGGGTGTTGGGCTGTCACGGTCTCGTCCGCTTCTAGGGGTGTTGGGCTGTCACGGTCTCGTCCGCTTCTAGGGGTGTTGGGCTGTCACGGTCTCGTCCGCTTTTCTAGGGGTGTTGGGCTGTCACGGTCTCGTCCGCTTCTGGGGGTTTTGGGCTCTCACACAAAATTGATGCGCTCACGCATGCAGAGTGGCTTTCTTGCAGACTTGGTCAGGCCAGGCGGAGTGTCTCCGTATGGCCAGGCCTTCTACGCCGTGGCGGGCCCCGAGGCTCGAGGGCAAAGGTCTCAGCGCGTGAAAACAGTCTTGGCTGTGAGACAGGCGGACCCGGAGATCACCTTCTTCTACATTCCCGACCACCAGGCATTCGGCAGTAGCGCCTCCCCATGCCTCCACGCATCTCATGCCTCGCCACCATGCGCATGCGCGAGCTCGTAATATTTGAAGGAGTTCTCATATCGGATCGTCAGCGAGGATGCCGAGACGGAGGTGGGGACTTCAAGATGCACAAGAGTCATCCGAACCTCAGCCTGTCTAGCTGATCTGAGCCCCCAGGCCGCGTACCACCGGGCGCTGGCCGCAGCTGGGGAGGCCTGCGACTCCATCGACCTGCAGGCGCGGTTCCCCTGAAAAGAAGAGTGTAAAAAAAGCACATTCAGAGTGTTGCGCTCGGTTGCGCCTAGCTAGCCAGCTCTAAGGCAGAGCGATAAGCACTTTGCTTGCCATTTTCAAGTCTAGCCGAGCCTCGCCGCGGTCTTGCTCTCTCTTTTGTTTGCTTTCTGGTTTTTCATGCACCAAAACAAAAAGCCTCAGGCCGGGGACGCGCTGCTCATCGACAACACGCGCTGCAACCACGCGCGCACGGCCTTCGAAGCGCAGCAGGCGCCGTGGCGTCGGCGGAGAGCGCGGAGAGCGGCGCGCGGGCGGAAGCCAGAGCGCAGAGCACGGAGCAGCGTGGCTTCATGTTAAACTTATTTGTTGATGGCACATGTCTGTCCGCGCGAGCAGGATGGAACCGACCGGTGGTTGCTGAAGACCTTCGTGTCCAGAGGTGCGGGTTGCAGGATGAGCATTCCTTGTGGGATGGCGGAGAGCAGCTTTAACAAGGGAGTTTTAAGAGTGACCTGAAACACCTCCGCCTTGTGTGCTGACTTCACTGGGGCCTCACTAGATCCACTGCTAAGTTCAAGAGGTGGCTGGCGGCGATCCGACTCTTCCGCTTCCTTGGAATGGCCCAGCTTCCTGGCAAAGCCGTGAGAGCGGGAAAAAAGGGCCGCTGGGATCAGCTGCTTGATGTTTGCTCCGTCTGCACCGCTTTTTTGCTCGGCCTGCTGATGCCACAGGCCGACGAGGGCATCACGAGCCCTTCCGCCCCGCGCCGGGAGAAGCCGGAACCTTTGAGAGCACAGCGACGTACCGACGTGCACCAGTCAAATACACCGACTGCCAATCCACCCAAAAGAGAGTGGGAGCAATACTCCAGCAAGCCACACAAAGCCGCAGACACAGACCAGCTTCCATGGCGCGGGCAGGCCATGCTTCGTTGTGTAGAAGAATTGGAAGACAGAGGGTGAGACAGGGAGGTCTCATACCTCTGACGCGCAGGCACAGCGCATCGGGGAGGGGGGTGGGGTGAGGGTGCCTGCAAACGAAAGAAAGGGCTCATTCTCACAGGAGTTGGACCTCTGGCCAGACGCACCCCTTTGGGGTACTATGCTCGTTCTGGCTCGTGTTGTAAGGTGGTTCAGCTGTTGATGCTCAAAAAGTGTGTGTCCTGGGGTTCTTAGCGCGTCGGAGCAGCGCAGGGGCCAGAGCACCATAGAGCGCACAAATGCGGCCGGTAAGGACTTCTTTAGTGGGGGTCTATGACTGCTGCTGCTGCTGCTGCTGCTGCTGCTGCTGCTGCTGCACTATTACTAGTTTTACCACTCGTAACTCCCACCACCACCACCACCACCGACTCAGGATCAAAACCTCAATCCTAAACCCGAAGACTTCACAAGCGCAGCTCCACGGCTGCGTGTCATTGAGCAGCAGGCGTTTGACACCGAACCCCCCCCCAACCCTTAAGACTAAACCCCACCCCTCGGTCCTAAAACCCCTGAACCCCCTAAATGCCCCTAAACCCCAACCACCTAAACCCCTAAAACTCGAGTGGCCTGGCCTGGCGCTGCACTCGAATGGTGTCTAGCGTTATTTTTTCTCCTGAATTTAGGGCTGGTCCTTCTGCCTTTTTTCCTAAAGATATTAGCGAATCTTGACGACTATGAACAAATCAACAACACCTGGAAATGTTTATACCATATTGCCAAAGTATTCACAACATCGTGAAAATAGTGAAAAAGATTAGCAGTATTTTGATGGTTCTTTTCAATAGAAATAGTGTAAAATATTAGCAAATTGTTTCGCAAGGTCCAACCGAGACCGTGCAGACGCTTTGAGCCAGCGCAGTCCGGAGAAGAAAAGAGAGGGAGAGGAAACGAGACAGAGAAAGAGAGAGAGAGAGAGAGACAGAGCCGGACAGAGCAGCGGGCCAGCGTGGCCGGGGTCCTCTTCGGGGGGCCTCTTCGCTGGGCAGAAGAAGAAGAGACAGAGCCCCTGGGGGCGGCCTCCCTTCGGGGGGGGTCATGCGTGGGGGAGAGAGAGAGAGAGAGAGAGACAGAGAGACTTGTACGAGCTCACGTCGGGGGCTGCGACGTTCAAGGGGTTCGGGGTTTTCGGGGAAATGTCCGGTCAGTTTCAGTTGTCAATCTCTGTCGTTTCTGTGTCACGAAGAGGAAGAGGAAGAGGAAGAGGAAGAGGAAGAGGAAGAGGAAGAGGAAGAGGAAGAGGAAGAGGAAGAGGAAGAGGAAGAGGAAGAGGAAGAGGAAGAGGAAGAGGAAGAGGAAGAGGAAGAGGAAGAGGGGACGCTGGTGCTGCAGCCGTTTCTTGGAGGAGCGAGGAGCGAGGGGCGAGGGGCCAGGAGCGAGGGGCGAGGGGCGAGGGGCGAGGAGCGAGGAGCGAGGGCGAGCGAGAGGAGAGAGGGGAACGCGGAGAGAGAGGAGAGAGAGGAGAGAGAGGAGAGAGAGGAGAGAGAGGAGAGAGAGGAGAGAGAGGAGAGAGAGGAGAGAGAGGAGAGAGAGGAGAGAGAGGAGAGAGGAGAGAGAAGAGAGAGAGAGAGAGAGAGAAGAGAGAGAGAGAGAGGAGAGAGATGCGAGAGAGAGAGAGAGAGAGAGAGGAGAGAGAGAGGAGAGAGAGGAGGAGAGAGAGAGGAGAGAGAGAGGAGAGCGAGAGAGGAGAGAGAGAGAGAGAGAGAGAGAGGAGAGAGGAGAGGAGAGAGAGAGAGAGAGGAGAGAGAGAGGAGAGAGAGAGGAGCGAGAGAGGAGAGAGAGAGGGAGAGAGAGGAGAGAGAGAGAGAGAGAGAGAAGAGAGAGAGAGAGAGGAGAGAGGGGAGAGAGAGAGAGGGAGAGAGAGAGGAGAGAGAGAGGGAGAGAGAGGGGAGAGAGAGGGGAGAGAGAGGGGAGAGAGAGGGGAGAGAAAGGGGAGAGAGAGAGGAGAGAGAGAGGAGAGAGAGGAGAGAGAGGAGAGAGAGGATAGAGAGGAGAGAGGGGAGAGGGGAGAGGGGAGAGAATGCATACAGTGCCGATGCCTTTGCGCCTTGCAAGCCGGAGAACTGGCCAGGACCGCATCTGGGTCTTGGTTGAAAGAATAAACACTTTTTGACAAAACCTTGGGTACAAGTTTGCAAAGTAGTGATTTTTCAAAAACAAGTGCCAACAGCAGCAGCTTCCGGAGCAGCCACAGCGGCGACAACGCCTTTCGCTTCCCGGGCTGCGGTGGCGATGGACCAACCCATTGAGCCTGATGTCCGAGGGCCCGGCACAGGAGGGCGAAACAGCGCGAGCGACAGCGACCGCAACAGAGCGACTTGACGACTGGAGGCTGAGCGTGGAGAACTTCGCCTTCTTTGTCCATGAGCCCGGGCATCAGAACTGGCCTCACACGCCTTGCCCTGGCTGCCTCAGGATACCGGATTAAAAGCGCCGTGCTGCGCAGGTTTTGTTGCGCTGGAGCACGAAAGTAAAGGTCGCTTTTTAGTCTTGGAATCTTGGAGTAGAATACGTTCGGAAGCGAACTGGATCAGTTGCGTTGGCTGGGCGCCATCACTGTTTGAGCTCATGTTTGCACTCTCGCAGTAGCTGCGCAGGCTTGCTTGATTGGATGTTCGATGCAGCGTTTCGCAGAAACATGCTGAAAGAGATCACAACATGTTGCAATGGAGAGAAAATCCAGACAATCACACTCAAGCCTCGGCAGACTTAATCCAGCTAAGGGCAGCTGATGAAGGCGCTCTTCTGCGGTTGCGAGCAGCCACTGCAGCAGCTACAGGTAGAGCAGCAACAACAGCAACAGCTGCAACAGCAACAGCAGCAACAGCAGCAACAGCAGCAACAGCAGCAACAGTTGCAACAGCAGCAGCAGCAGCAGCAGCAGCAGCAGCAGCAGCAGCAGCAGCAGCATCTTCTTCCGCAGCGGCGACAGCGCGTGTGGCTTGCCGGGCTGAGATGGCGACGTACAAACCCGCTGAGCAACTTGTCGGCAAGTTCGACGTTGCCAAACGTAGCCCCGCTGAGAAGCTTGAGAGAGCAAACATGTTTCAAAGAGGCCGTGTCTTATGACAGTAAGGAGAGATGGGTTCAGACAAAAGTCCAACCAACGTGTTAATGCTTGTAAACAGTTCGACAGACCCTTCAAAAGAATATTTCGCCAGCCGAAAGATGAGAAAAAAGTGAATGAAAGAACTGTACATTTGGCGACATGAGCCATCAGGACGAGAAAGGGCAGCAAAAATGCCGGATTGCAGCCAGAACAGCCACAAAAATGCTTGCCAGTTGTCGCTATCACGTGCCCGCACGCAGGCCTGCTCGTCCTGGGAGGAGGAGCCAGGATTCTTTGGCAGCAGCACCCAGGCGCGCAGGGCAGCGCCGAAGATTGAACACCTTGGTAGGCGATTGCGATTGGCAAGCGCCGCTTCTGATCACAGTTGGATTGAGTGTAAGACCCATCAACACATTGCGTAACGAAGATGAGGTCGCATTAGCCCCTTCAGATGATCTGTGGCAACATCGCCCTTCATGTTGCTCCCACACCCCGTTCCCGTTCCCCACACCCTGTCCCATGTTCGTTTTTGCACGTTCGCTATTTGTTGTTCATTGTCGTCATCCTCTGTTTCTTGAAGTTTTGCTTCGGCATGTTTTGGATACATGATTAATCTTGCACTCGAACTTCACCTAGCACGATTCCTCTCCATTTCACAACAAAGCGAGAAGGATTAAGCAGTGCGTTGCGACAGGCTCTAGACAGGTTTCTCGTAAGACCCACCTTCAAGCGATCCAGTCAACTGGGCGGGTGCCACTGTGCTAGCCGCCCGGCCGACAGCTTCCCCTGCGAGGCCCGTGGCAGCGCTTGGTCCGTCGTTTAATCGAGGCAGCAAGCGCATGCTCCTCGAATGCCTCGCACATTTGTAGTGCATGTCGGACACATTGATTTGTCTTGCGCCGCAGACATGAGACATCTCTCACATGTGAACCGTGCTCTAAAACCAGACAGCATGCCACTTCCGCACATTCCACGACGGCATGACGCCATGCTTGGGGCTCAGCCGAAGGCTTGGGCCGAAGGCCTCGTGTCTCCCTATGCAGCCCCCGCACTGCATCGTGCGTGTGCTATCCTACACATCGTTTGCCAAAGATGGGCCAGGCAGGCGCCGCAGCACAAGAGCCAGCCAAGACAGGCCACTGTGCCAGCTTGTGTTAGGAGGTTTCTCTTGCAGCAAATCGACAAACAAACGCGGGCGGAGTCTGTCATGACACAGCCTTAGTTTTCCGATTCGGCTCGTTTCCCTGGGCTTGTTTTGTTAAGTCGACCCTAAACCGTAAATTCTAATCTCTCAATCTTCGACTAAGAGCAGATCAGATTAACCAGGCAGACGCCCCAAAAGGAACCCTGCAGACTAAGCGGCCAAATGAGCCTTAGCCGCTTCACTTGAGGTAAAAGGCTCCAAAAGGATGGCGCCTCCGCCAATCCAGGTTGAGAATTCAGGGTTGTTAACGCCCTGGTCAAGTTGTGTTTCATGCGCATGTGACAATGCCTCTGGTGTGCCGAAAAAACACATGGTTTCAAGTATAAACGCAGCACAGTTCACAAAGACCAGCTCCCAATGCAACCACACTTTCATCAATAATCTGCCTGCATGTTTTCAAGCACTGACCAGAGATCAGCGACAAAGTGGGCCGCGTAGCCTTGAACCAAGACCGATGCAGTTTCGACGCGGTTTCGATGCAGTGTCGATGCAGTTTTGAAACCGATGCAGTTTCGATGCAGTTTTTCTCAAAGCGGCATGAATTCGATTCAGTTTCTGTGCATTTTCTTTACAGCCCGAAACGACGTCGAAACTGCATCGGCTTCTTCTTATTTCAGGGTTTTCTTCTTGTTCTTTTTATAAGAACTGTCGATTACCAATACTTAGTTTTTTCGTTTTTTGCGAATAGATTTAAAACATTTTTCAATATGTGCGAGTCTTTTTTCAAGATTGTCAAGTTTTGTGAATATTTTGGTAATATTTCAAGATGTTGTTAATGTGTTTACAATATTTCCAAGATTTTGCTAATACTTTTTGGAAAAATCACAAGGACCGGCCACAATTCAGGAGAAAAAATAGCGCCATCGGGCACCGCCAGGCCAGGCTACTCGAGACCACCACCCTTTGAGTGGTTCAGGTGTTTAAGAGTTGTGGGCATACGTGTTTAAGGGCTTTGGGGGATTGGGAGATAGGGCTTTCCAGGTTTTAGTCTTAGAGGTTTAGGTGGATGGGTGTGAAGGGTCTGAGGTCATTTAGTGGAGGGTGCGGGCAGAGGGGGCCAAGTATGCGAGGTCTTCAGCTGACTTCATTCCATGTAAGCCAGGCAAGCCAGTAGTTGCCAGAAGCAGCCCCAGACTTTTCGCGCACAAATCTTGTATCGCAATTGCAAAGCCGATTTTGTTGCCAGAGTTCAGAGTTCCGCGGCATTTTTTGGTTTCATTCCTGAAAGTGGGGGTTTGTCTGCGGAGGGCACCTCGCAGCCAGTCCCAAAGCGTACCAATCAAGGGGCTTCCCGACCACACCCCGATGGAACTTGCCCGTAAATTTGTGAAGCGAATTTTGGTTTCTCCCTATCCCCAGCCCAACCTTTGCATTTTAGCAGTTCCCAAAGGCCAGAGCCCCTTTTTTCATCACAGCCCACAGGCGACAAAAAATCGAAAGTACGAGGGCTGGCTTGTAAAGCGTTTTGCTGAAACAGAAATCAGTACCCCCTCCGCTTGCACAAGCATGGATTTCACAACGCAAATCCGGAATTGATCTCGAGAAAGGTTAGTTACAACCAAAATCGGGAATGATTGCTCTTGGATCTCTCGGCTCTTCCATTTTCAGAATGCCAGCTTGGGAAACGCACATATGGGCAGAGAAAGTGAGTGCGAACTCGGAAGAGGCAGAGACAGACGGAGAGAAAGAGACAGGAAGAGAAGGGCGTCGGCAAAAAACAAGAGATGCCAGAGAGAAAAAAATTAAGGAGTGGAAATAACCAAGGGCAGGCGCGCAACAATAACAGATGTCATGAGGGAGATAATGACCGAAACTGCTTGGAACAGTGGCAAACGATCGTCGGCTGCAGCCAGCGCAGCAGCCCGTAAAGTTCAAGCGGATGGCACGCCAAGCAAAGGTGTGAGAGGACACTCTTGCAATCCGCTCTCTCCGCTCCAAGGCGGCAACGGCCGCTACGAGGAGGCGAATTGTTGCACATCTTTGTGAACGGTGATGGCATTAGCCATGCCAGGGGGGGTGGGGCTCCAGGCACGAAGGATGAAGCTAGCAGAGCTGGCAGAGAGCTTCCGGCCAAGCGAAGGCCGGACGAGCCGACACCCTTCATGCCACTGGACGGCAAGTTGGGAGTATGAGGGCGTGCTGCTGATTCCGGCGTACATCCACACATACCAAGGTCCTACATGTCCGCATTGCGAGAGGCGCATGGGTTGCTGTGTGCTGTGTCGTTCTGTGCCCTGAGCACGACTTACGACTTGTGTTAGGTACAAGGGCAGCTGGCCAAGGAGGTGGTCCACAGCATGGACAAAGACAAGCCACCGCCGACGCCTGAGGGGCACAGGAGACTTGTGTAAGAGAGGGCGGCCTGCAGTTACAGAATCCAGAAGGCGGCCCAACCGCAACATGGACGAGTTCCGAACCCTGAAAGACGCTTGCGACAGGCATCGAATTGTGGTGCCTTTGCAAGGAAACTCAGACCATATGTAATGTGGTGATTCGCCTCTTTCCAGAGGCAGGGGCAGCCCTTGGCGACCAGCCGCAGCCTGCCGGCTTTGCCTAAGGGCCGCAACCTCCTGCAGGGTGTCCAGGAGCCGACGTCACCACATGAGAGCTGAGCAGCCTCATAAAGCAGTCGCAGCAGTAGCTCAGGAGCGAAAGCACACGCGTCCGAGACTGCTTGTTGAGATTCTCAGGAGCCTGACGCTGTGCCCAGCCCGCTCACGAAGGCCATCGGAATTCTGCTGGCATGACCCGAATGACCCGCGATATGTTCTGTCGCGGATGCGAGAGAGGCCAAGATGCTTGCAACGATGACCTGAGACAGCTGAGAGCCGCTGCGCAGCGACTGCAGAGCAGCCGGAAGTTTGGTCAACCAGGTCTCCAAGAGTGTTTATGCACGTGATTAAGCCACGTAGCTAGCTGCGACAGCTCAGCGGCACCGGTCGGAGTCTCGGCACGCAGAACGTTTCACTTCGTTTCACCCAGAGGTTCCTCAAGCGCTTTCGGGCTGTCGAGTCAGTGTTTGTGCTGTGCTTGGCAGCTTTTTCGCCTTCTCTCCCAAGGAGAGGTGATGTCGGAGAGCCGAGGGAACAACTTGGTGATGCCCTGCAGCTTGCAACGCTGTTCGTTCTTGCCGCTCTCTTTGCAGCAGGCCTCCCTCTTTAACTTCAACTCAGATCAGATTCTCGGCGATCTCTCAGCGGCTCCAAGATACAGAGGGCCGACTAAAGGGTGCCACAGGGGGTGCTCAAGCTAAGCGCCATGGCGAGCGGACGCAGGCCACGGCATGCCCGCGTGTGAGAACTTAACAGCAGCTCTTAAGGAGAGCACTTCGAAGAACCTTCAAGGAAGCGGACCGTTAGAGTGACTTGAGGGCGAGGAGCCTGCTGGCAGCATTGGTTCTGCTGGTCGCTGCGCCAGGACCCTAATCGGTTCAAGTTTCTTTTTCCTTGACAGAGCTGTCGGTGAGTCAGCTCTTGCTGGAAATTGGTGCGAGCCCAAAACGCCCTTGGAGAAGCTGAAAGAGCGCTCCCAAGTCTCTTTCCCAAGGGCCTGCCTCTGGAGATGGACGTTTGCTGATGCATTCGTCGCTCCCCAGATCGGCAGCCGAGCCCCCCGCGGCACCTTGCCAGCAGAGAGACATGCGCGATGTGGAAAAAACGACGTGCAGTTCGCCTGCGCGGCAAATGCAGATGCATATGGAAGCCTTTCTAAGGTCCTGTCCGCACGGCCCGCTTCGCCAGTGACAGCGGAGCCGAGGCGCGCCACATCCGCAACACGCATTTTGTTGCCACGTAAAATGAAGCGAGATGGGACAAAGAGACCGTCAAGTCCAGGACTCAGTCGAAATCTCGGGCTTCTCCGGCTTTGTGGTGGGCCTTGCGTTCCTGCCGTACACCTGCTACGCACTCCTGACGGCCGTCAACATCGTGAGGCTGGGACCGGACGCAGCTGCAAGCTTCTGCGACTCAACTCTACTTTTAAACTCTACTTAAAGTTCCAATTTCCTTCTACATCTTGCAAACTGTGTCCTTCAGAGCGGGTCCTTTCTCGGATCGTGTTTTTGTAACTCGCGCTCTCAAGGGGGGAGAGCGTCCCAACCTTCGGCTTCGAGCTGCTCTCCGGTGTGGTGTCCCTTGGTCACAACCTCAGAGCCTTTCAGAGCCTCCGACGGGAGATGTTGAGACAGTTGACAAGCACATGCAAAAAAATGTGAAAAACAAAGCAAAACAACAACCATATGGGTTGCGAATTTGTTGTGCCATTCAGGCCTGGTGGCCTGGTCGCTGGGCAGCTTTCTCCAGCGTGGCCGAGGACAAAAACGGGAGACAGACACTGATAAGACGGAGGAAGACGTTCTCTTGCAGAGAGGGTGTCGCTGTGTCGCCAGGCCTGCCGGCTGGGCCCCTGGGATTGCTGGGCCTGTCGGAGGGCCTCTCCTACCTGGCCGCGCCTCGCTCTGTGAGATCAAGTGTGCTTGGTCCTGTGATCGTGACGGGATGGGGGCGGGCAGTTCCGTGCTCTTTCCTAGCGAACGAAGCTCAGAACATTTCAGAACTGTTGGAACGTTTCGTGTCCGTGTATGTGTGTGGGTGGCTGAGCATTGGTGCAAGTTCACATAAAGGTGGCAGCATGCAGCAGCGCAACAATATGCATACTTGTACAGTACTTATACATATTCATTATTTTCCCATGAACCAGGCGCTGGGCCTTCTCTTAGCCACGGCCGCGGCCGGGCTGCGTTCAGGCAGAAGTTTGAGCCGCGATGGTGTGAAGTTTGTGCCGCCTGCAAAGCCTTCAGGACCTTCGCTGCCCAAGATCAGCATGCCCAATGTCGAGATACCCAAAGTCAGCCTGCCTGCAGCGCCGTCACTTCCGAAGGTACAGAGAAGTGTTGCTCGTGGTGTCGCATGTGAAAGACACATTCAATGAAGTGTTTTGTTCAGGGAGTGGAGATGCCTTCCTTGAAGGTGCGGCTTCTTTTTTTTTTTTTTTTTTTGGGGGGGGGGGTCATATGTTGGGGCTGACTTTGTGTGGGTTTTGCCTCTCGGATGGTCTCTTCCGTGCGCGTCTTCAGTGCACAAGAATCAGCAGGAGACGCACCCCCCAAAAGGTGCCTGACATGAAGCTGGGGGACCTCAAGTCCAAGCTGCCGGACATCAAGGTCCCGGACATCAAGGTCCCGGACATCAAGGTGCCAGACATCAAGGTCCCAGACGTGAAGGTGCCAGACGTGAAGCTGCCAGAGGCTGGGAGATCTCTAGGCCAAAGATCAGAGTGCACCATACAGCGCTTCCACGCGAAGAGAGGTGAAAGTTCCAGAAGTAAGCCTCCCGAAGACAGAGGCAAAGAAGGAGACAAAGAAGGCGGCACTTCGGGTTCCGAACCGTTTCTTTTCCGAGAAGTGTCTCAGTGGGATCCCATCGTTGCAATTAAGTCACAAGGTTTTCGGCACAGAAGTCCTTGCCATCAGCAATTGATCTTCGTGGGGAGCACCCGCCCCACCCCCAACGCTCGTGCCTTCACATGTCAGGAGGCCCCGCCTCCTCCGCCTCCTGCGCCCAAGAAAGCCGAGGCAGCTCCTACGGGTCAAAATCTGGCAAGTTGGCCTTCTCATCCTCTCACCCCCTCCTTCTCTGCGATTCTTGCTTTGCTCGTTCTCTCTCTCTCTCTCTCTCTCTCTCTGTCTCGCCCGCTCTCGCTCTCTCTCTCTCTCTCTCTCTCTCTCTCTCTCTCTCTCTCTCTCTTTCGAGGCCAAGTCATCGTCGGATATGGCAGATCTCTTTGCCTGAGGGCCTGGTCTCATGTCATCAGTTTCTCAATTTTACTATTCGGAGAGTCAAGTCAGGAACAGCTGGAACAGCGTGAGTGGAGAACGGGGAAGAGCATGGGAGAGCACTGAACTGTTGGTAGGGATGTCGGCAGCTGATTCTGTGCAAATCTTGTGCATGTGCGCAAAACGTAGTGCTCAAGTTCAGCGGGAAAGCCCACCCGCTTTTCACACACGGCGACGTGGAGAGCTTCGTGATGAATGGCTTGGCTCTGGTGGCTGCTGTGGTTGGCTCTGGCTCAGGGCCAAGATTCAATAGACTGCGATGAGCTGGAACCCGAGGCTCCAAGAAAAGGATGAGTGCTGAACAAGGGCCTCCCCCCCATGAGATTTGCCGCATGTTGGGAATGTGGGGAGGCCCTGGAGTTGTCCCTGCTCCAACTGGGGCAGCGCCTGGGCCGCGTGGCAACGGCAGGTAGGGGGGGCGGGGGGGAGGTAGGGGGGGACCTACGCACATTGCACACACATCGTCACATCTGAGTACAATGTCCCTCGAGGAGCAGTTGAGCCTGTGCATCCACAACAGGAGCCCAAGGCGGGGAAGATGAACTGGGTAAAGCTTTTGAACAGTTCATCCAAGTTTCAATTCATGTGAACATGGGAACGTGCACGCCCATTTATTCTCTTTTTGTGTTGGGGGAGCACGGTTTCGAGATTTCGAGAGAGAGAGAGAGAGAGAGAGAGGGAGAGGGAGAGAAGAAAAGGGAGGAAGGAAGGGAGAGGGAGAGGGAGAGAGACTTGCGCGCTCTCCCAAAAAGCTGCTTTGACTGAGTCGCCCTCTCGAGTTCTTTGTAAGTGAGCCTCTCGCACACTTCAGATCAGGACACCTCCTGCACCGGCGCCTTCCATGTCTGCACGTTGGCAGAGACCCTCGGGATGCAACTAAGAGAATGAACAACAGAAGGACAGAAGCAGAGACAGATCGGCAGATCAATGCTCTCCTCTTCTTTTTGCTTCATAGAGAGGTCTCTTCAGATCATTATGTTGGCCTTTTGCAGATCTGTATTTCTGAAGAGTTGTTTGGAAGTCTCCGTCCTTCTTGTCGGCCTTTCGAGGCGCCACACTTGTGCGTACATCCCGGGCTGCCACTGGCACCGCGAGACCGCCTACGGAGGCCGTGTGCTCTTTGTGTTCTGGTTGGGCGGAGTGTCGCGTGTTATGCGCCTCCGTCCCACGAGGCTGGTGCACGGAGAATGGTGCGAAGGCCAGCGAGGGCTCCAAGGAAGCCAAGGAAGCCAAGGGCGCCAAGAGCGCCAAGAGCGCCAAGGGCGCCAAGGGCGCCAAGGCCAAGTCCCCTCACTGCGCCACCATGGACGGCCCCCGCTGCGCCGCCGAGCCCGCCTGTCGTTGGGAGAAGAGCTGGATCGATGCCGGCTGTCGAGGAGATGGGAGCCGCTGGCAGAACCCAGGCGCCAGAATCCATCATGCTGTTGCCTGGAGTATTTCTAAAGCTGCTGAAGTGTATGCTGGCGAGCTGCTTCCGCTGTGTTTTGGGGTTTGGACTTCGGGTTCGACGGTCAGGCTGCAGCTTCACCAACGATGCCGAGGCACGGCGAACAAGGGTCGTGACTGATTGGATCCCGAATTCTGGATGTTCCCCACTCTGTCCCACTCCCAGCGCGGCCGGCCTGACATGTAAGGATGCTGTCTGTTTCGCAGGGGGGCATGGCACGCGGCGCAACAAAGATTGCTCAGAAGGGGAGTGACAGGAAGCCCCTATTAGCAGAAAGAAGTCAGAGCGTGACTTGAGACAAGCTGCGTAGACAACAGACAACACTTGGTTGCAATCTTGTGTTCTGTTCGAACAGCCAACGCGGTCTGGTAACAGAGTCTGCACAAGTGCCAAACTAGTGCACTGCGTGGCGTGACATATCAAACTTCGCCAATGTGGGACCATGCAGATGACGTAGCGTAAGGGCTTGCTGCAACCCTGAGGCATGCATGTTCATGCCGGGATGCAACTGGAGGGGCCGCAGCTCCTACGGTGGCTGGTGCTCCAGCAAAGGTGACTCTAACGAGGCAGGCAAAGCCTGTGCTTTTGAGACGACGCAGAGTGCTTGCACACAGCACGGCTGCATCTGGACGGTGTCAGCATGAGAGACTGAGAGCAAGTCGCAGAAGGACAACAAGGGCATAAAAGTCTGGCAAGATCTTGTAAGCAGAGGGGCCGGGCCTGCTTATGCCTGCTTGGAAAAATGATGTTGTCGCGGGATCTCCAGCTGCGAGCGTCCTTCGTGAAGCTTGGTGTGATTGCTGCAGCACCTGTAGGCTCGAAAGAGGAACTCGAAACACCATCCTTTTGCTTTTGCTAAACGGAACAACCCATGGCCTATGCGCGATGGCTTGCTGGCCGGATTGCACGGGGCGGCTGGGGCAGCTCGGGCGGCTCTGCGCGCAGCCTCGTGGGACCCCTAGCATTGTGCAGAGACGCCAAGCCGAAGCCAGCAACTTCCCCCGAGCTGCCAGGCCCGACTGCGCCCTCGCTGGCATGCCCGCGCATGCGCCGCAGCTCTCCCTCCGGCCATCCTTGCCTGCCAGTGCCCTTGGTGGCAGCTTGTTGGCTCGTGTTGTTGGCGTAAGGCCATAAATCTCGCTTGAAGTGCGTTCCCGGTGCGTGTCTCGTAGACAGGTACCTAGACAGACGCTGGTCCTCCTGCGAGACCAGCGCCAGGGTGCCGAGATTTGCTGTGAGAGGGAGCCGAGCCTTTTACCACTCTTTAGCCTTTCAGATGAGTGATGCTGGGCCCAGGCTGGTGCGGGCTCCGGCAGTTCTAGCTCCAGCATCATCCGCTTTCGGGTGGACGTGGACCGACCCGGCCTCCTTAGCGAGGCCGTGGGATTGCATGTCGCTAAAAACTGTTGAGCCATTGTCGTGTTCAGTGAATATCTGGACTGCGCTCGGCAGCTTTCTCTGAGGGGTTGTTGGGGGGTGCTCCCTCGCAGGCAACGGAAGTCTTGAAGAAGCAGGAAGTCAACATCCGCGATGCCCGGATTTCCACGAAGCAGGGCACCAAGGCGACACACATCTACCTCGTCGAGGACCGAAATGGCGGGGGCCTCTCGGAAGATCGCCTCGCCCAGGCCGGGGGGGTTTAAGTGGGTGGCACGCTGACACTTCATAGCATGCCAACTCACTTATGTCACTATAAGCATTTGAAGAATGCTTAGAAGTGTGTGCTTTGTTGAGTTGGGGGCGGGGGGGGTTCTCATGGGTTCTCCGTACCCCGGCCCCTGGAGACTGCAGTTCGCCTGAGGTCCGCGGGGCCTTGGGGCAGCTGGCCGAGGGCTCCTGCGAGGCGGCGCCTTGGCCAAGGTATTCCTCAGAGGAGGTGCTGAAGCACCAGACGGCGGAGAATGGGATCTGGGTCAGCTACAAGGACCCGGCTTTTAAGAATCACATGAAAGACACCAGACCAGCGCTCACGCCTACTTGCACTGACCTACACTTACTTACACTTACTTACACTTACTTACACTTACTTACACTTGCGTATACTTGCGTACACTTACTTGCACTTTCTTGCACTTACGTACACTTACTTGCACTGACCTGCGCTTACTTACACTTTCTTACTTACACTTACTTACTCTGACTTACACTTACTTGTTGTCCGCACTGACCGCTCTGCCAGAGGTAGTTCTTGCAAGCAAGCACAGCCGGCAGTGCGGCATCGGCGTGGCTTCTTTTGCAAGCCCGCGCATGAAGGACGGTGTCTACGACATCACGGACTTTGTGCAGAATCACCCTGGTGGCAAGGACAAGATCATGCTTGCCGCCGGAAAGGCCATCGACCCGTTTTGGCCGCCAGCTGAGCGCTGGCACTGGGCGCCCCTACGTACACATTTCTGTAGGTAAAAAGGTGCTCCGGGGCTTCGCGTTCAATGCTGGGCCACTCCAAGTCGGTCGGAAATCTGCGGCAGCTTGCCTGGCCCTAAGGCGTATCTACCAGCAGCACACTGGGCGAGGCACCTTGGAAGCAAAGGACCGCAAGGCAAGAACATGCCAGAACTCTAGAGGCAACAGCTTGGTCTTCAAGTGCTATTCTGTGCTTTTGGGTAGGAGGGAGTGTTGCGACATCGGGTGCTCCGATAAGGTAATGCCTTGGAGCTCCTGGAGAGCATGCGCATCGGGGATCTTTCCGATCCGCCCGCCGCCAGGTCACTACGTTTCTTTGAGTCCCCGAAAGTTTTCTTACTTTTTCTTTGCAAACACATGTGTCCCCACGAATGCGTTCGCGCCATCGTTTGAGGGCCTGCTTGCCTCAGGGCTTCCTGCGATTGCCCCTACGACAGTGACCCGGAACGCCACCCGGGCTTGATCTTCCACAACAACAAGCCCTGCAACGCGCCGTCCGACGCGCTTACTCACGGCGCCTTTTCGGGGCGCCCTTATAGTGATTGCACTTCCATCAGACAGCACGCAGAGAGCAGTGCACGGCATCCGTGCATGGCATCCGTGCATGGCATCCGTGCATCGCCTCCTTTGGGTACGTGCCAGGCAGAACTGCCCTCGGAGCTGATGATGGACTCCTGGCTGACGCCCAACCCCGTGTGGTTACGCGGCAATGCGGCTTCTTTCGGTTTGCAGAGTGCAGACGTCGAGAGTCCTGCTCTTTTGTCATGTTGTATGCAGATAAAGCATATTAAAGCATGCAAAGAAGGTTCATTCGCCACCATCATCCAGTGCCGGTGATGGACCCTGAAGACTACCGACTTTGCATCGAAGGACTGCCGTGGTGAGGGGGTCAACTGGTGTTCTGTATGTTTCATGTGCAATATGTTCATACAACATGGGAATGTGGTTTGCCGTACTTTGTGCTTCATGTTTTGTGCACCTTGCCAGCCGTTCTCATCCCTCACGCTTCCTCTCTGCAAGGCGTTGGAACCAAGGCCGTCACCTTGTGCCTGGAGGATTTGAAGAAGCGGTTCCTGAAACGTGAGGCGAAAGAGCTGCGCATGTTGTCATGTTGTCTCCGTCTTCCTCGCGAGTTGCGATCGATTCCTGAAGTGTTTCCGAAGGTGTGCGCAACTCTTCAATGTGGAGGGAACCGGAGATCTGAACTGGACCAGATTGAGAAGACCTCCGGCATTCCATGGGGCTTCGGCGCCATGTCGACGGCTTCTTGGCGTAGCGAACTGTGCAACCTTGTGCAACCTTGCATCCAGCACTTGTGGAACCCGGGGGCAGAGCTGAAAGGTGGGGAGGGGGGGAACGGCGGGAGGGGGCTCTGGGGGTGCACCTACAATTCTCGTGCAAAGCAACGTCAACAGCTGGAGCTTCCAACGTCGGACGGGTAAAACTTCTCAGACCCTCTGAGACCGCCTGCAGACTCGAGGCACCTCTGCGTTCAGAAATAGTCAGAAATGTACATTCTCAGGCAAGCTCAGGAACTTCAAACCCGGAAAGGAGACATCCAGGAAAGCCTAATCCGTAGCAAATCACCCGGGACGCCCGACTGGACGGAGATGGGGGAGTGGGAAGCCCCAGCTGCGCCTCAAGGCCGTTTTGAGGGAGAGACGCGGAGTGGCCAACGGGAACTGAAGCTGGAAAACCCTATACGGATCCAAAGTGGGGCCCGGGAAACAGTTCTCCAGAAAAGGAAAAGGGGCTCTGACCCCAAGCTTACACATGTTGGCTCGAAGCTCCAAAACTTGCGTGGGTGCGGTGGCCGTTCTTTTGTCGGGATGAAGTTGAAAAACGCTTGCAGGCGTGGGTTCAGATTAGTTCTGTTTTTCAGGGGCGAGGGCCTGCAGCATACAAGTACAAGACTTGTAAAGCAAGGTGCAACACAAGCCTGTGGCAAAAGAAGCCGCCGCCACTTCCTTGTCCTTTCACTGTTCCTTCCTTCTTCTTGTGAGGCTCGCTGGGGCGGCGTCTACCTGCGCGAGGCCGGGACCGGAGAGAGATGCTTCTGCTAAGCCTTCGGCTTTAGGTGGGTCTTTGTCAATGCCTCATGTTCAGTTGCGTTCCTTTCAGTTTGTGTTGTTTGAGGTGCTGCAGCACTGCGCTGGCCTTAGCCACGAGAACGTCGAGGCCTTCGATGTGAAGCATGTGATCTTCAAGGGCATGGACGGCATGGAGGCGTCCACCCGAGAGATCTCACATCCAGTGCCCAGTGCAGCTCATATGTCCCTGCTGCCGCGATCTCCAGTGATCTCTGCAGGCCTCCATTCCCATTGAGAAGGCCCTGAGCCCTTACGGCGACGTGCTGCTGGCCTACGAGATGAACGGGGAAGCGCTGCCCAGCGAGCACGGGGCGCCCGTGCGCGTCATTGCCGTGGCCCCAATCAAATCGCAAGCCCTCCCAGGGCGGGGAAAGGGAAGGGAGTCGCTGAACATTGGCGAACCATGAGCGGGGATCACTTGGGGTCCTGTATATCATACTGTATATCATAGATGCCATTGATGTGTCTGACTGCGGCCTCTCTGTATCTCTCTGCGAAGTGAAGTGAGCAGTTTCCTCGTCTCAGAGAGGTGCCGGGCGTGGTCGGCGTGCGCAACGTGAAGTGGGTCGGCCGCGTGGTGGCTTCCACGGAGGAAGCCGAGGGGCCCTGGCAGAGGGGCCTCGCCTACAAGGGCTTCTCCCCGATGGTCAAGGCGGGTTAACAAGGGGGGGGGGGAAGGCCGGAGAGGCCCTATGGGCCGGACTTCCTTCAATTCCCCCTTCAAAAGGGCCCCTCGACTTGATGTTTTGTGGGTGCCGAAGCTTTGGACTCTCTGGACAGGAGCTGCAGGGCATTGACGTGGTGCCCTACTGAGTTGAGAGCTCTTCTTTTCCGACTTGTCAACTTCGACTTGTTTCAGTGACTCGAGCCTGAGGAGAAGATCCCGTCGATGCACGAGCTGCCGGTGCAGTCTGCCATTGTGAGCCCCAAGGCGGGCAGCATAATCGAGCTCGACGATGTGGAGGTGCCTGGTCGGAAGTACTCGTGGTGTGGTGTGAACGTAAGACCGTAAGATGTTCAAGAAGAAGGCGTGGGAAATATCGCAACGGTGTATAAAATGGTTTGTTAGAGCTGTTAAAGCCTTTGATTGAATTGATTGAGTTTTGCGATTCGAGGTCAAAGGCTTCGCCTGGAGTGGCGGAGGGCGCGGCATCGTCCGCGTGGACGTCTCCATCGACGAGGGCAAGACCTGGGTCACCGCGGAGCTGACCAACGGCAAGGCCGGCTCTCATATCTTTTGAGAACTCTGAGGGCCCTTTCTGAGAGCGGAGCCTTTGCATGAGAGCTCCCTGACGCATCCGTTCAAGAACTATGTAGACACAGCGCACTGCTAAGACTAACACTAATAATTAATGCACATTCTTCTCAATTGATACCGACACAAATGCATATACATGTAAATATTTAGAAGTACACACACACATATATATATCCATCTATCTATGTATATATATATATATAATATACATGGAGAGAAAGAGAGGGAGAGTTTCTTGTAAGACGCGAACGGCCAGAGGATCAGGACTACAACCGAGCCTGGGCCTGGACCTTCTGGGAGGCCTCGGCCGGGCTCCCAGCCGGGAGCGAGAGGGGGCACTAAGACACCCGAAATCCGAAACCCTAAAGGCCTAAGCCCTTCGGAGTGGAGGCACAGAAAACAAAAGCATGAAAAAACAGCCCTCGGATCTTCTCATGTTTAGATGTCCGATGTGTGTGGAAGAGCTCCCCGATTTGATGCTCTCAGACCGGTTGGCACGCCTGACAGAGCGCAACGCACTCTTCCTCCCGCCCTCCCCCCCGTTTTGCCTTTTGCTTTGCTGAGGTTCCCGTGCCCGAAGAGCTGCAGGGCAAGGAGTTCACAGTCCTCTGCCGGGCCGTGGATGCTGCTTACAGCTCCCCGTCGAAAGGGAGTCGAAAGAGTCGAGGCGGTGCTCTAAACCCTACAGCCTAAACCCTAAACCCTCAACCCTAAACCCAAAAGGCCCTAAACCCTAGTGGTGACGATGATTGGGGGTGGTGAAAAGCTGAGGCACGCAGCCGGAGAGGCCAGAACCCCTCTGGCGGCTCAGCTTCAAATTCACTTGTCAACCGAGGTTCTTGCCTAGTTACCTAGTTCTTGCCTAGTTCTGCCTTCTGCCGAGTGCCTAGGAATCTGCGTGGCCTGAACTGCAACTGCTGGCACCGAGTGCCGATCCGACACCAGGAGTGAGTTTGAAGTCGTTTGAAGTCGTCTGAATGCCTTGAAGAGCAGGGCAAACGCGACTGATGGTGTTTGGAAGTTCTCCTGTTTAGCTCAAGTTCATGCACTTGTTCGAGTTCTCTCTGAGCCGCCGACAAGCCATTGGGACAATGCCTTGGGCTCTCCAGCACCAGCAAGGGCTGCGATGTACAGGACACGGCTGGACACTGCCCAAGTCGGATTCCCCGGATGCTTGCGAAGTCAAACAGGGCTGTGCACAAGAAACCGTTGTCAATTTCCGAGAGTCCAGACTGATAGTTGTTTTTTTCTTCAATCTGTCAACGCCGCCGTTCATTGCGCCTGTTTTCGTCGATCTAGTCCTCACGAGTTGAGAATGACCGCACCGTGGCTGAATTTCCACATGCCAACAGCAGAAGCACGCATGTTTTTTCTTGATCATGGTGCAACATTTCCAACAGAAGCGAGGGAGGGCCGTCGCAATGGAGCTCGAGTCGCTGGACTCGTTTCTCGAGCCACCTGCCTTTGCTTGCTGCGCGCTTGAGTCACTGGAAAGTTTTTTGGCTCCTGTCTGGAGCCCAGCAGCCACGACAAGAAGGCATGTTCGTTCATGATTGTTCGTGATCTCGCCTCACAGGTGCAGTCCTTGGAGGATTTCCTCTCTGCAGAGGTGTGGAATTTCGTGGTATGTGAAGCTGCTCCTGCTTGCTCGGCGCTTCTGACGTGGCAGGTTCCACCTTGGAAGCAAGATCCTTCCGACCTGTGCGCATACTTGGATGCCTACATGATGGCGGAGCGGCCGGTGCCTTGCTGTGAGCAGCCCCGTTTGAGCGGCCTAGGACGGGTGTCTTGAAGGCAGGCAACGACTGACTGTTTGATCCGTCGCGTGCATTGCGTGATGCAGGTGCAGCCCTTAGAGGATTTCTTGTCCAATAACGAGGCACCGAGAAAGCAGCCCGAACACGACTTTGAAGCCATTCATTCCTTTCCCCTTGACAGGGACACTTCCCGGTCTACCTCTGGATCTACGACCTGTCTAGAGGATTCGCATCTCACTGGGCGGAGACGCTTGTGGGAATCAAGCTCGAGGCACCCGTTACGGGGCACATCTGCGCCAAGGTTTCAGCTAAGAGGGGACATCGTGGGAGTTCACGTGACAAAGCGCCGGAGGACCATTTTTTATCATGCTCTCGTGCTTGCAGCTGTCGATGTCGCTTCCGTGTTCCGCTAAATGGAAATCTTGCAGAAGCTCCTGGCGAGTGTGAAAACAAATCGCAAAACCAGCAGTGTGCAGTTGCTCCACTGATGGAAGACCACGGGCTTTTGATGGGAATGTTGTGATGTGATAAAGGCGGCTGCTTGCAAGGCAACTTCAGTGGCTATAGTGGGCCGGCGAAGGCAACATGGCATGAAGCATGCCAAATTTGAGCAAGCGAAGCCGCAGTTGAAGCGAGACAGCTCTTCGAAAAAACATGCGGACGAAATGGCGCCTGAATCTGAAGCTTGCCATACCCGGAATGGTCAACAGGTGTAAGAGGAAGATCTGGTGAAGCACACGAGTCAACACGACAGTCAGCAAGTGGAGCGTGGGGTTCTCCACATCTCCTACACACGAGGCGGTCCGCCTTAAGTCGGCAGTGGGTTCAACGCTGTGTGGAAGCAGCCAGCCTCGCGTGACTCGCGTGGCCAGGGCATCTGGCACACGTCAGTCGTGGTGGAGTGGCCTCAGCGGTCGAGTCAGAAGCCCAATGCGTTCAAAAAGTAGGCAGCACGTTGCTGCGCACGAGTGGCAAGCTTGATTGCTCTTCCTGCCGCACGTGTGAGGCGAGTTCTCGTTTGGAGGGCAAATTTGCGAATGCAAGCCCGGGTGTGCCACTTAGGTTTTTTAGTCGCGGTGGCTGGTCACAGAGGTCACACGCTGCACGGCTTCCCCAAGTTACCGGCTGTGAGGACGACGCCGTATGGGCAGCCGCTGGAAAAAAGGTCAGCCAGTCAGACAACCTTGACGGTGAATCAACGAACACAGTTCCTGTTTCGAGATGTTCCGGTGATGTTACATGCAGTATGCGCTGGGTTTCAGGTTTCTTGGCTACACTGCCAAGACACGGCTGCAGGTCCGCAAGTTCTTCATACGGTGCCCCCCTCACTGTCGGGGCCACTCGGCCCCGCACCTGACGTGTCGTCTGGGTTTGTTTGTGGTTGGTGGGTGAGGCTGTGCCTTGCCACCGACGATTATGATGGTCGACATTATGACCTTCTGTCCTAGCCTTGTCGTTGCAGCCATGTTTTCCGAAAATGCTGGCTCTGTCCGACTGTTGAGAGATCGGAGGTGCAACAATTGCAACCACTTCACGCACAAGTTGCTCCAGCATTTGTTCCACGAGCTTCTCGCATGACATGCAGCGAGAAGGCCACTGTCTTTTCCTCAAAATCCTGAGCCAAGGAACCTTCCTGGAAAGATGCCTGACGTGCTTGACCAGCCTTCCGTGGTTCGGGACACAGCATGGCATCCAATCCGTTCTGCTTTGGGGCCCGTGTGTCCATCGCATAGTTTTGTTGGTGCCGAGGTGGGTCAAAGCCTTCGAGGCCAAGCGCTCCTTTGGTTGCTGGCCAGGTTCCACTAGGCCGGAAGACATGTCCCATGCCCACTACATCAGACTCTATCTGCTTGTCATAAGCGATATGTGCTCCGTCACACAGGCGCGCCTTGCAGAGCGGAACCAGGATGGCGTGGCCCAGGGTCAGGCATGTAGTGGCTGGCAAGCCGGGCAAGCCGTTGCAAACTTGTCTGCCTCAAACTTGGCGACGGATTCTGGCAGGCTGCTGGTGACCGCCCGCGGGATGCAGCGATTGGGTGACACCTGGCCAGAGGCCAGAAAGACCTCGACTTCTCGGCAGGCCCTAGCACGTTGCATCTCCAGGCTGCGACCGGATCCCAGACCATGCCAGGCCATGCCATCTGAGACAGAGAGAGTGCAGAGAGAGCGTGCCCTTTAATGGCCTCTCAGGGCCCGACTCGGCCGAGGTGGTGCCGGCACGGCCATTGGAGGCAGAGCTCTTGATGCTGGCCGAGAGGGGGGAGAAGGCGTGCGCATGGCCATCGGGAGCACCCTGTGACGCCATTGTGGCCTTTTGTGTTGTTTGCCAAAGGTCCAGTGCAGGGTCGGCGAGGACTCGCTGCCCTGCCGCTGGCAGCGTTTGCTGCATGCAGTGGTGCGGACACCTGTCTGAGCCCCAACTCTTGAAGCACTTGCACCTTTGCATGGAAGCAGATGGGCACCAAAGGCGACTTGGTTGCCCTGGTTCACGAGGAAGCCGGTGCGCGGAACATGTCTGAGGACCGAACGAAGCGTATCGGGCTCAAAAACGCAGACTTCTCGCAACTTTTTGCTCAGGCAAGCCTTGGCTGTTGGGTTGTGGAGCTGGCGCTCCAGCCCCCTGCCGAGGCTTGGAATGGAAGAAGGGCTTCGAAGAGCATTTTCTCACATGGAAAGAGCCTTGCATTGCGATGCGAGGACCGTGAGGATGCCTCAGCTTTGGCATGGAGCATCTCTGAGCATCCCTCGCCTCTCAGATTGAGCTTAGTCATGCAGTCATGCCCGTCTTGCTTGTGGGTCAGTTGTGTAGAAGGGCAACTTAGCAAGTTGTCGAGTACTGGGGTCCTTCATCTCAAAGGAAAATGCAAGTCTATATACATGTCCATCTAAATATGCGTCGTGCGCTGCTCGCGTGCTGCAATCTCAGGCAGTATATATTCCGCATGGCATAGCGAGCGATAAATATCGGCATGTGGACTTGTCCTGGGCATATCCGCTGGATGGAAATATGAGAGGTCCACTTAGATGCTTTGGGTTCCGGGGCTGTCTGACTTTGAACTGAAATGCATGTGCTTTGGGTATCTGCGAGTGTTTGCAGGCCGTTGACAAGCTCAACCGATCGCGAATCGCTCTGGAGGCCGTTCCGAGCTCCGGGCTTGCGGTCCAAGCCGCCTGCAAGAACCTTCGTAAACGTCCGCTAGGCCTGACAATGACAGATTTCTTGCAACCATCTCAGAGTCAGACCAGGGCAAAGTCTTTCCACCATCTGTCGGGCTGTCCAACCTGCGCGAAGTGGCTGGGGGCCTCAGTGCAACGCAACGTTCCTCAGCTGTTTTGGCAGTGGCACTCAGGTCCCGCGCCAGGCGAGGCTTGGCCCGGGCGACAGCTTGGCGGCGACGGCGCGTTCTCCGTCAAAATCCAGGTGGCTTAGCACTCTGTACGCGCTCCCTGGCATGCCGTAGCAAGCCTGTTGCGAGGACGCGAGGAGTCCGGCGAGGAGGACGTTCTCGTGAACCTAGGTCCCAGGCTATGCATCCCCCTGCCCAACGGTGGTGGGCAAGCTGGCGAAGCACGGCAGCTTGTCGTGTCCACTGCAAAGGCTAGAACAATCAGCGGATGGTCAAACACAGTGCGTCCGTTTTTTGGATGGATCCAGCATCGAGTCCATCTCCATGTCTGCTACGTGTGTGTGTGTGTGTGTGTGCGTTCATACTCAACTACTTGCTCAACTTGAATGTTCTTTTGCAGTCGGGCAGTCAGGAATCCATCAGGCCCATGGGTCGCGTGCCGCACACTTCTTCGGTCGGTCCATTGTGAAGCATCGCGCGTTCGGGCTCTGCATCTTTACAGCCGCTGCCCGCGCGTAGTGAACCCAGAGCGCCGCTCATTGACCCGCGCCGCACTTGCGGTCCAAGCCGCCTGCAAGAGCCTTAGATTTCTTGCAAGTCTCAGATCTCAGACCATCTCAGAGACAGAGCAGACTCAGCAGTTTATCATCTTCGCAACTGGAGTCATTGTTGCAGTAGCGAGTGCAGTCATGACGGCTCGCGTAACAAGTGAGCTTTGCGGACTGCAGTGCGGAGTTTTTTCACCGTTGAAAAAGAGCCAAGGAATGTGTTGAAATGATACCTTACATGCAATGTCATGCTGCTGTTTCTGCATAGCATATACCGCCGCTCGAATCATGCACCTCCGTACATCCTACTCAGAGTTCAAAGCTTCAAACGCTGAACCACTTTGTGTTATGGCTTTCGGGGAGTCAAGAGTCTCCCAAGCCCCAAATCCCTCATCCCCAAGCCGTTGCTTCGAGGCAGCTGCCCCGGCCAGCCACTTCAACTCACGACCGGCAAAGTGGCATCAGCAAAAGCTTGCGGGATGTTTTCACGGCGAGGTTCATGGTGTGCACACATTGGATCCGAACACACACCCCTAGAGCCTACAGCGCTTTCTAGGACAGCGTCCAGGCTCAGAAGAGGCCTTGAGTCAACTTCATGCAGCTGAGCGCTCGAGACTTCTGTGCTTCTGTGGGACCAGCTGTCCGAACATTCCCTTGGAGATCCGTGCTCCCTCGGATCGAATGCAACCATGGCATGATGCAGAAGGAAGCGTCCCCATCGGCTAGTTAGGCTAGTCGGGGCAGGCGTAGCAGCGTACATGGCAGCTAGAAGATCCAAGCATAAACTTGCTGCTTTCCACTTGGCGCCATGAGCAAGATGGACGACCTGGAGCGGCGAGTGGCGGCACTCGAGAGGCGAGTAGCACAGGCCCGTCGCCTACGAGACGCTGAATTCTTCAGGTTGCCCACGTTTGCCCATGCCACGTGCAGGCCAAAGCTCTGCAGGACTTCTGCGAGACAAAGGCCTCCAGACCTGCCAGACTCTGCGTGGTTTGAAGGCTTGTGCTTTTAAAGTCGTTTCAAGCTGCAGGTGGACGATCTCAAGAAGTCTGTTTGGGACTTAGCAGGTGCGCTGTAGAGTTCCAGAGTCCCGCAATGTTTTGGTCCAGGTGGCTTGGTTCTCGCCTGTCAGCTGGTACCCATACACCCCCTGCGGCTGGCTATCATGGTGCTGCTGCGAGAAGCACCACGAGCAGGAGGAGGAGGTCCACGTGTCAAAGCCTGAGTGATAGATTCAAGGCATCACGTGAGTCCCATTTCGCTGTCGATCCCGTCGCCGTCGCACCTCAGGCGGTGCTGCTGTTGAAGGGAAGTCTGGGCCCCAACGTGCTCGCATGATGTTGCCTTGAGACAATCTCGTGTGCGTGATGCGGCAGTTTGACCGTAATTCTGTATGATGTTGTAGATTTCTGTAAATGTGCTTTTATGAGATACAGCTGAACTTCAAGTACGCCCATTCACTTTAGGTTCCTGGCAGGTTGGGAGCGCAGTGCATGTTCTGCAGTTTCAAAGATAAATCAGGCACACCCACCAGAGGAGCCATAAAGACAAGGCACAAGTCAACAAGCCGTGAGCAGCATGCTTTGGGAATGGTTTTGCTGCTTTTGAGTTTGTAATGTGCTTAAGCTGTTTCGCATACGAAGTTGTCAAACATGTGCAGGAGCAGTAAAGAAGGCAGCACGGAGAAACAACAAACACAAGTTAAACAAGGCATGTATTCACGTTTTGCCCTTTTGCTTTTACCTGCTTCTTGTAGAAGGATATTGTTATGGTTTCGGATTCGAAGTTGGAAGAGCAACCGTGAGAAAAACGAACACGAGCACCGCTCCAAAGGCCACAACATTTCGAAAGCCAGGAGCAAGCATAAACAGCCGTGAGTTTTTGGCTCGTTTCATGTTGTTGCGAAGTTTGCACGGGAACTAGCTGAGCTTTTGTTGCTTTCAAAAACAGTTCAGCAAGTTGACGTGAGCCACTTGTGTTGCGAAACCATGGACAGACCTTGCATCTTTGCAAAGTCGGTCGCTGCCTGCTCACCAGGGGGTTGCCCAAGTGAAAACCCAGAGGATGCTGAAGATTTCTTGGGTCTTTGCAAGCGTGGAGCTGCCACTACGATCTGCAGTACAGGCGTAGCCATACCTGGTTGTCGTGTTGAGAATGGGAGGCGCGTAGCCGTAGCAGACATGGAAGGTCCTGGCCGTTGGATGAGGAATGTGATTGGGTTGAGGCGGGCTGGCCGAGCAAAGTTTGAGCTCGCTGTTTGTCTGCATGCAACGTTAGGTGCCAACCATCCGACGGCTGGACGAGACAGGACTGGCAGCATGACCTGCACATTGTGCCAAACTCATGCACTCACCAGTTACGTGAAAGTGATTGTTTGTTGGCACTGTCTGATGTATCGTGGCCGTGCTGCAGCACTCAAGATCCCTGCCGGATGCCTGTGTCCAGGCAGCTGGTTCGACGCCTTCCCGCCGAGGCGTCTTCAGTGACAGGGCGATGTCTGTTCTGACAGGCTGCGGCAGTGCAACAACAAAGTTCAGAGAGTGGCCAGATATCTCAACTTAGGCAGCATTTGGCCGTGCCTGGGCAAAGTTTGCTTGGCATCCGGGCGGATGAGCCGCTTGGACGTATTCTTGATTCTTGTCCTTCACCGGTTTCACTTGTCAGACATTGGGCGGCGGACGCCTTGGTAACTGTAACTGTAGCCCCATGATGCACTGCTGAACCTGCAAGTATCCTGAGACCGCCTGAGACCACAAGACAGGCCACTTCAGCGACGCATCTGCGGCAGCCTCTCGGTTTCAACGGATGCGGATTGCATGCTGGCCGGACGAGAGCTGACGTCGCTGACATCGGTTGCCTTACATGATCATTGTCAAATCATGTCAAATCAGTGCGCCAATGACCCGTTGAGACTGCGCTCTTCTGTCGACTCGAGGCACCCGTCCCCACTCCTCCGGCAAAGCCTGGGCTTGCCGTCCAATGGGCCCGCTGCTCAGCATGACTCAGCCTTGCTGAGCTGCAGCTATAGCTGCTATGGCAAACTAACGTCACACGATGGGATGACACGAGATGCCTGGAAGTCAGCTGCAAAGCTTCACCGATGCCAGGTCGACAGCCTCGACAGCCCCTAGCCTGGATGGGATACGAATTCAAGTATCTGCAGCTTGTGATGATCCCAGCCAGGCAAGCCACTGTTGTCGTGTCTTGGTCTCCACTTACCAATGCAGCTTCGCAACTATGTCTTTGTGCTGCGTGTTGTAGACCTCCACAATCATCCGCATAACCGCGCCCAAAGCCCAAAGCCAATTCTCAGCCTGGCGCTGGTGCTGCGGAGCCAATTTGGCCAAATCGCCAGTGCGAAGTATTCTCAAGCCGTCGCAAAAATGCGAGAGCTTTTTCGGGGAACGCTCGACTCCAAGGAAACCTCTCTCTCTCTACTTGTACGAGAGTCCAGCAGCCCTGAAAGGCTTGGAGGTGCCATTGGAGAAGGAGATGTCGTAAGGCGTTGTCACACACGTCAATCACACATGCAGAGTTTCATGTGCCATTCACTTCGAACCATTCGAATCCTTCAGGTGCTGTAGTTCATGCCTGGGCGCCGATACATGAGCAGCCAGCTCAGAGTGAGGCCCTTTCGAGAGGTTCTTCCGGTTCTTTCCTCGGTGCGCTGGTTAGGCTCTCCTACCATTCCGAGTATGCTTCAGCCTCCGCAGCTGCTTCTCCCGATTCTCGTCGTGGTCGGCGGCCCCACCATGCAACTGCCATCCAGCAGCGCGTGCACGCCAGAAATGACCGCTGCGGCACTGGCAGGACCGCAGGAGTCGGATCCCTTTCGCGTGTCGCTGGAGCAGTTTGGTGCCGGGCCGCTAAAGCTGATGTTCTTGAAGGCTTGGAGACCTCAGAGCTTTTGGGGGAGTTTACTCGAGATCAGGCTCGCCGATCCCTTGCCACTGCAGGATGATGGCTTGCAGACTTCCTAGGGCAGGGAGAACGTGGGCAGCCTGGAGCATCAGCCGCCTTAAGTGCATGGCATTGCAGTAGGCGCTCGCATGGTGCCGCGGCATGCCGCGGCATCCGAGCTTGAAAAATTCGATTGCTCCAAGGTCACAATTGTCGCCGTTCTGTTGCCGACGCAGATGCCCGAGCAATAGCAGGTAGGATCAGCTGTTTTCTGTCCGTCATGACGATTAGATCCAATGACTCTTTGCACTTGTGCTAGGCACTCAGGCGTGCCGCATGTTGCACCCCTGGCCCTGGAAAAAGTGCCTGAATCCTATAAGAACTACACAAATTGCATAAGACGCCTTGTGGTGAGAGTCTCGAGGGTGTCAACCAAACAACTGGGAGCTTAGTACGCAGGTTTAGTGACTAATTAGGGTTCAGGGTTGGGGGGTTCATACGCATTTGGAGTTGGGGTTATCCTAGGAGCAGCCCTACCTTCTTTACAATCTTTATAACCTACTAACTAAGTGCCCTGGGCCTTGAGGCAAGCATGAAACTTCAACAAACGCGGAGCTCAAAACCCTGTAACCCCCAAATTACCCTAAACCCTCCCTAACCCTAAACCCTAAACCCCAAACCCCAAACCCCAAACCCTAAACCCCGCACTGCAAAGCCCCTCAAAAGTCCGCCAGATGGCTGCAGCTCCCCAAGCTCCCCGAGCTCCACGGAGCCCGGGCCGATGCCAGGCGAGGGACCCACAGAATTTCTTGTTGTTTCTATTTTACATATTTGCTTTTTTTGGGGGGGGGCGAAGGGGGGGGGGGGTTATCTATCTTCTGCTTCAAGGGGCCCTAGAGGGCTTCTCAGGGGTTTTCTAGGCAGGCTTTATAGGTCTGGGGTCTCGGTAACTGGGTGAGATTATGGGATCAAGGGGTTCAGGCGGCGGCAGGTTGAGATGCAGGGCTTAAGAAGCTCTGGGCCAGAGGCGCCTAGCCTTCAACCCAATAAACAAACAGAAGCGCAAGGGTATCTTTAAGGTTTCAGGGCTTCGGCGGCTCCGGCAGGCACCTAGGATCGGGACTAACTGAGAACAGATCATGCTCGCGTGAAGAGAGGAGCCCTGCAGCCTGCAGACCTACGTATGACTAGGGCTGCACCTGCTGACGCAAGAACTTCGATACTTGCCGAGAAGCTCACTGTAGTTGGACAAACATGCTGCATCGGATTTTCGAATGCACTTTGTATCTTGACACCGTGTTTCCTGAGTTTCCGAGGTTCCTCCTGCCATGGAACTTTATCAAGCTTTTCGTGTGGGGTGAAGTTCCGCTGCTTGCCATTGACGTGATGCATGACGGTCGTTAATTGAACCCCTCCGCGGATCCCAAGCATACCAGAAATCCATGGAATGAGCATATCGGCTCGGATCAGTAGGTGTTGCAGTGTTGCAAGCTTCGAAGCCCCCGTCTCGCCATGGCTACTGACATGGAACTGTTACTGGAGGCCCGCTGCTTCTCACGTGTGGGTAGGACGGGTAGGACAGCAGACAAAGTCACCGGGTCAAACAACGCCCACTCCCAAAGCAATTTGGAAAGCTTGGTTTGAGTGTCAATCCTAAGCTTAAGAAGCAAACTTTCCAAGATGACACCGCTCCACTACAGCGCAGCATCAGTCACTTCACCAGCACGTCGCGATGGATTACATGCACCTTTTGCTCCAGGACTCTGTTCCATGCCCACACTGTGGCGACCGGGTGCTGCAGGATCGCCTCGAGGCAGGGACCACCTTGGTTCGTTACACGGGGGTAAATGGATGAGATGGATTAATCATCTCGGCTTTTCGTGTGTCTGGATCTGAGCTCATGTCTTTCTCCGTCTCAAGATGTGCTTTCGGAGCGGAAAGATGAACGACGCAGCAAAGAGATGGAAGAAGATAGTTGCAGCATGATCAGATGGTCTCTTGCTATCTCCGGCAGCAGAATGGGGAGATAGCAAAGAAAAGAGACACAAACAAAGAAGCCTTAGAATACAAGGTTACATATTATGTAAATGTAGAAACAAAATGTGCAAAAGGTAACAACATTGTGCGGATCCAATACCGGATGTTGATTGGAGTTTGCTTCATCACGTCTTTTGAGTGCAGACGATTATCACAACGGACAGACGGCACAGTCTTCAACAAGGAATTTTGGCAGTTGAGGTTCGAGCCATAATGTCGAGCACAAGTAGTTGGTCCCAACAAGTAGTTGTGACTTCGGGCAACAGGTTTCCAGAAACTTCAACTTTGGCGAAGGACACCGGCCTTACAGTTTGTGCAATCGAAACTGTTGACCCGACTCTTTGACGTGCTCCAATACCTGACCTTTAAACCTCCAAAACCAACACTGTCCGCTGTTGCGCCCCGTCGCTGACAACAAACACATGCTTTTCTCGCCGCAGGTTCACCTGACCAGGTGGTGTCCATCCCTGCCATCCCTGCCATCCCTGGGTGAGGATTCTTCTGACGACGATGTGTCCAGATTTGAAGCGCAATAGTAAGAATGGAGCTGCAGCAGTGCCAGCCGTAGTTGTCGTTTAGAAGTAGTAGGAGAAGCAGTAGCAGTAGCAGCAGCAGCAGCAGCAGTAGCAGTAGCAGTAGCAGTAGCAGTAGCAGTAGCAGTAGCAGTAGCAGTAGCAGTAGCAGTAGCAGTAGCAGTAGCAGTAGTAGTAGTAGTAGTAGTAGTAGTAGTAGTAGTAGTAGTAGTAGTAGTAGTAGTAGTAGTAGTAGTAGTAGTAGTAGTAGTAATTAATAGTAAGTAGAAAATTGTGAGCAATGCTGTTGTTTTTTCTGAGCACAGGTCTGCTCCCGCAAGCTTGCAGCCTTAAACTAAAGTCTGCTGCCTCCGCGAGCTTCAGCTCAAGGGCTTGAAAACATTGAATCGTGGCCTTGCAACGTGGCCTTGTTTTGCAAAATGTGAAGCTCGAACACTACGTATCCTGTGTACCCGAAAAGAGGTATACCTTTTGCTGCACACACAATTTCCATAACGTGAGAAACACGAGATGTACACAGAAGTTACCAGGTGGCTGGTATTCAATGCACGCGACATGGCATGAAGTGCACTGCGCAACGGATACGACTGTCATAGCAACCGGCAGCCTGCCGGTGCCGGAGGAATGCGCGGCTGCGCCGCCAAACTTCCCTTTGCTCCCTGCATCCTTGAGGTATCTCTTCGCCGCCCTTTGCGGACAGCTGTTCTGGCAGCCTCTGTTGCTCGGCTCAGCTGTAGTGTTCGGGACCTTGAACTCTAGATTCTTGGGGCCCTATCAAGATAATACCTTGCAACGGGGTGGCTTATTCAAGGACATGTGTTAATGCTTGTTTGAACCCACACACATCCACGTAACTTTTATCTCTTGTAAAAGGAGGGTAGAGAACTGGAGCTTCACCGCTGGGAGGTACAACTTCCTATGGGCTTCCACGTGGATGCTGTTTGCATGGCATATGTGGGGTGGTTAGAGGTTTGCGGGTTGAAGTTGAACAACGCTTGTGGGGGCACGAAGTTGCCGAGCAGGCCAAGCAGGCAGACGTGGTCCAGAAAGGAACGCATCGGAATCTTTACGCTGTCCAAAGCCTATTGATCAGAGCCTCCCACAACCTGTATCACTGTATTTTCGAAGTTTGGCAATTGAAAGATGAAGAGGCGCAGCAGGAACTGCAGCAAAGCCGCGCTGCTGGAGAGCACTGGCAGGCAGAGCTTCAGCGTGAGGAGATTAACCCCTAAGCCTTTCTTCTCAGAAATCAGGAATACAAACCAAATGGTTCCAAAGCTGAACAAATACCTCACAGGGTCCGTTTGATGTCAGGAGCTACTTCGAGCGCAAGCTGATGCATCACGCTTCCGCGACGAGCTGCGAGCCATGACGGAGCTTGCGCTGCAGCGCGAGGAGGTCGTCGCGGGACGTTTTTGTTTTGCTAGTCTTTGTGAGCTGTGCTTCATGATGATAGGGGGGTTCTTGCTGAAAGCTTCGGCTTTGGGTTTGGGAGCGCGTGTCTTCGGGTTGTAGATTGATTTGGGGTGTTAAGTTCTCAGAGGCCGGCATGTGAAGACATATGTTGCTCGTGCCGCCTCGGCAGTCGGGGGTGCAGCTCCCAGAGGGGACACACTGCAGGTAGAACGTTCTTTTTGACAGGGCCATGCATGCCATGAGCCTGAATTCCCACATCAAGACCTGGGGCCAAAACTTCCAAAATATCGTCTCCGCGTTTCAGATTTTTTTTGCAGAGGAGGCTGCTGATGCTGCATGGCGCGAGCAAATAGAGGAGCTTCCCGCGCGACAATTGTTTGAGAGCTGTGTTTGAAGATCAAGTGCGGGGGTTGCAGACTTGATTTGCAGGAGAGAGTGGGCGCGATGGAAGGAAGTGGAAGCTGCTGCTTGTTCAGTCTTCCATTTTTTGGCAAGTGATCAGTGATCGGATTTGATTGAGTAGCTTTCGTGGTGATTCATGGAGCAGACTCACTCTTTGCATTGTGGATGTACAGCCATTTGGATCATGCTTGCCGTCTCGCTCGTGTTATCAAAGTTCCCGTGCGAGCATGGCGTGTGAAGCTTTCGGGACGACCTGTGTGCGGTCATAAAAGATCCCATCCCCAAAGCGCATGTGACACCCTCTCCGCCTCAGTGTCATGTCAGTAGCACAATGGAAACCAATGGAAACCACATTGTCGAAGTTGTCATGCTCCTTTCCACTATTCGTGGCAAGAAATCATCCATGTTCTTGTCCGGCAAGCATGGGGGCACATGCAGACCGTGCCAGTTTCCTCCAACAGAAGATGTATAACATGCATAAGATGTATACTGTCGTCTTAGAAGATGTATCATATGCCGGTGACTATTCTGGTGTCCATTGTGCAGGTCAGCTTTGCTGCTCCGGGAGTCGGCCGTGTGAAGGCATCGAGTTCAGAGGGCCTTGTCCCTACAATCCACAGAGTATCTCTTAGAGATAGATTCAAGGCATCACGTGAGTCCCATTTCGCTGTCGATCCCGTCGCCGTCGCACC